AAAAAAAAAAAAAAAAGATCCTACAGCTATTGAAGTGTTTCTCCCCAGAAACAAACGCTGCGCAGAAAGTTCCGTCTACTTTGTTCTCATTGGAAAGTTCAACTGGATCTCCCTGATAAATCAGCTCTTTATCATGTCATCAAAGGAATATTTACAGCCACTGCTCTCGATGTTAGTCCCTGAGTTAAGCTTAAGAAGTAGGGGTGGACTAAGGGGCAGACGGAAGGGCTGTCCCACACAGCGGGTCTTCGGTGGGAGTTCTGGGCTTGTCCCAATGTGCCCAGCTTCTGCGACCAACATGAATGACTTGAAACAAACAAAAAGCCAAAGACAAGCATGACACTGAAACCCCAAGGCAGGGCTCAGATGTCAGGGATCCAGGGGTCAGGTCTCTCCCTCTGGCTTCCTAGCCCTGTGGTGTTGGGCAAGCCCCTCTCCCCTCCGCAGGAGATCCTTTGGATGTACCACCAGCAGCTGCACACTTTGGGGCAAGCTACCAACACACTCTCAACACAAAGGAGCTTTGTATGCTAGAAAGCACTTCACAGCACGGCTGTTAAAATAAGGCAACTTGTCCAACAAATGCCGAGTGCCTACTATGTGCGGGGCTCTGTTCCGGGCACCGGGTTACTGTGGTCAACGAGAATAACCAGGCCCCTACTCTGTGTCAGCAGTCAGTGGGGAGTGACGAGGTCTGCGAGCTGACCAAGAATCGATCATTTCAGCTGGTGATAAGCATTATACTAATAAGAGAAGATAGTGAATTGTGCTAAAGAGAAGAGAAGTGCTTAGGAGAGCTACTTGAAACACGCTGATCAGGGAAGGCTGCTCTGATCTCTTTAGATCATGGGATCTAAGGCCTATCCGATGAGCAGTTGGCTATACAAAAATCTGAGGAAGAGCATTCCAGGCAGAGAAAACAGCCTGTACAAAGGCCCTGAGGCAGGAGCCAGCCTGCCTGGCAGGTATGAGCCTAGAAGAGAGAGAGGTCAAGGTCACTAGAGAAGAAAGAACTGGACGTGTTCCAAGACACAGGCAAGGGCCGGTTCGCCAGGGCTTGGATTTTATAGGAAGGGTGACAGAAAGCAACCGCAAGGCTGAGTAGAAGTAGCATGCTGATTTACGTCTTCAAAAGATCCCCTTGACAAGGAAGACAGCGTCTAAGGAGACGGGAGTGAGAAGATCATTTAGGAGATATTCTAGGTCAGGGGTCAGCAAAGCATGGCTGGTGAACCACCTGCTTTTGTAAAGAAAGTTTTACTGGAATACAGCCGCGTGCATTCTGCGTTGAGGAACTGAGCGGAGACCGTGTGGCGTATGATGCCCGTATATATCATTTACTATTTGGACCTTTAAAGGGAAAAGTCTGCCGGCCCCTGTCTAGGCTAGAGATGATGGCGCCCTGGATGAGTGCTTGCTTAAAAACAGTATTATATGGGCGCCTGGGTGGCACAGTCGGTTGAGCGTCCGACTTCAGCCAGGTCACGATCTCGCGGTCTGTGAGTTCGAGCCCCGCGTCGGGCTCTGGGCTGATGGCTCGGAGCCTGGAGCCTGTTTCCAATTCTGAGTCTCCCTCTCTCTCTGCCCCTCCCCCGTTCATGCTCTGTCTCAAAAATAAACGTTGGAAAAAAAACAGTATTATAAATAACTGATTACAATACTAACACTGCTGCTAGAAACCCAAACTCCTATATCCAAGAGGCCATTTGCTATCAAACGAAACACTGTACAAACCTTGCCTCTACCACGGACTCCCAATCTTGCTTTCCCTATTTGTTTTGGATAAGCTTGTGGAGGTTGGCTACTTAAGATCCAAATGTTACTTTGAACGACCCAGCTGGCAAAACAGGTGGGTTAAAAGGCGAGGATACTGCAGTGGCTGGTGCCCCAAGGAGACCCTTGCATGTGCCATAATAAACCGAGTGGCAAACGACTGACGTGGGGGTTTTTGGGATTATTGGCCCAGTTGCTTTCACAGATGGCCCCAAATGCTCCCAGTAGACAGTGAAGATGACCCCAAAACACAAAGAAAGGGGTACAAGGGCTCATGATTCTCAGTGGAGTCCCCCAACAGCATGCATGTTAAATCACTCCCACACAGAACCCCAAAACATAAACTCGACACATTAGGCACGTTCCCTGCTCCTTTCGGAGGACACTCTCTGCTTCCAGATCTTTTCCCTCCCTTCCAAAGTAGCTAGAATGTGTTCCTGAGTCTTTGGCCTTCCTTATAATTTCTACGGTTAGGTTTCACATGTTGCCGGAATGTCATTTTTTCCCAAAGCCGATACGCTAAAAATGTTACAATAGTTTCCTGTTCCTGAATTTGATTAAAGGCTGAGGCTCTCAGATTTGTTCTTAAGTCATGTTTACTTCAGTTATCTATAATTTGGGAAATTTCCACTAAGAGAAAAGCAGTACAGAATACTGGTTAAGAGGGGTAGCCCTGAAGTCAATGGGCTGCACTTGGACTCTTGGTTAAACAATGTTAAACAGGAGTTTGACAATACAAGATACAATTATATCACTGACAATACGTTGTAGAAATAACAACATTCTATAAAGAGACAAGGAACTCTTTCCTTCATACAAATGCAACCTTGTTTCAAGAAATGATTTTACATGTCCACTAAAATAAGGAGTTAAAACTTAGTGTTTACTTATGTGCTGGGTACTTCGCAAAGACCATTTTAAATTCGCTACCTCATTTGTTCCTCTCCCCGATTCTCTAGGAGGCTGGTAGGATTTCCATTTTAAAACAAGGAAAAGCGAGGCTCAGAGAAGCTGAATGCTCTGCCCAAAGTCACACATCTCATAAGCGGAGGCACCATATTTAAGCCTGGCCTGCCCAGCTCTAGTCTGTGCTATCGACCACAGCGCTGGGCACCCCGCTTCGTCCGCCTAAGACTTTCCCAAGTATTTCTCACTTCCCAAGGACCTGAGACCTAATGATTTCCAGGGCACGGAGCCGAAGCAATTCCTCACATCGTAACGGACCGTTGACCAGTAGCTGCTTAAGGGAGGTGAGGTACATTCTCAGCTAATATTGGTGCTGGCCAGAATATAAGAGAGTCACTGAAGCCAGGATATTCCAACAAAACCAAGGCCAGTCCGGAGCTTATCAGAGAGCCTGACCTTGAGGGGACTTTGCTACTGATTGTTTTTACCACTCGACCCCCTTCTCCCCTCTTTTGGAGGGAGGCAACGAGGAAAATCAGTTATCTTGCTACACGTGCTACTGGAGGCACCGTTATAGATGAAACACTAATCAACGTCACACATGTGACCCCGACTCTGAATAGTTAGCGGCAGTGAGGAGAGGGGGAGAGCTGAACTGGGAGGCGGTCAAGAGTCCTGGTTTTCCAGCCAGCTCTTCCAGGGTACGCCCCCCAACGGCCTTGCTCCTTGGGGGTACTCACCTGTAAAACGCACGGACAGACTAAACCAGTGTTTTCCTAAGAGAAAGAGGTACACAGGCGTATTTGGGAGACGCACGGATAAATGTTTTTAAACTTCTGTATCTATATATATTTCTTAGTTACCTTCCATGCATGGCAAAGTTTTTCACTTCTGACAGTGATTAAGTTTCCTTTTAGAAATATTCTAAGTAAGTCTGAATTTTAAAAAGATTTAAAAATACTAAGTAAACATCGAGGGGGTCCGCGTTATGGCGAAAATCATGAAGGCGATATGCAAATCATTAAACTTAGGAAACAGCCATTAATGATCCCCAGGGCACACGTCTGCGACTAAAACTCTCTGACAAGGCTCATAATCCAAGTAGCTCGCCTTGGAAGCCCGAAGGGGAAGCCGTGACTATCTCCACTTCACAAGGAAAACATTATACCGACCAGGAACAGACCAAAGCCACCCGAAGACCCAGTCATCCACACACCGTGTTCATGCTAGAGCCGCTGCTGATGGTCACGGACCCGCAAGCACAGGCTGCAAGCTCCCGCCACCTGCCAGGGAGCAGGAACCCACCTTGCCTCCCGGGAACCCCTGCTCCACGGTCCCGAGTGACCCCGCTCAGACCCTGAGAATACGTGGGCTGGACCGAAAGCCGCCGCTTCCCACAGCAAGAAGAAACGGCGTGTCACCCGGGCAGTGGAGCCCAAGGGCGAAGACCAAGTCCCGGACGGCAGGTTCTGGAGTCAGGGTGTGCAGGGTCAAGTCCCAGTGGTACTTCCCACGACCCAAGAGGGTCCCAAGGAGAGCAGCAGGTGTCTCAGACTTATCGCCTGCTAAGTGCCTGATGGTGCCCCCATTCCGTCTTCACGGGGACCTTACAGGGTAGCTACTCTTCTCCTTACCGTGGGATTGGGAGCGTCTACCTGGAACTGTATCCACCGGGATAATGAAATAACAATGTAAAGC